TCGACATCACCCTGGGATCCCCAAGATCATCCCTTGTCAGGGGCAGATTGCGAGTAGCAGAAATCAAAGTCAATGAATCCTCTGGTATGCGTTGGGCCTCACAGGGCACCATCCGATGGGAAGCACAGCAGATCAGACTAAGGGGATAACTTGCTGGGCCTAGGCACTCTATTGCCTATAGCGGGTTCCATAAGTCCTCCTCTCCTTCCTCCTCTTCCTCCTCCTCCTCCGCCTCCACCTCCGTCTCTTCCTCCTCGCCCCTCTTACTTCCAGTGGGTGAGCGCCGAAGCACGTTCCAGAGAGACATCTTAACCCTTAATCCCTCGATTCTCCAGCCTCCGGAGGCCCGGAACAAACACTAGCGAATCACATGTGTTTTTCTTTTGTGGCGGTAACAGCAGAAATCCTTATGTGCTGAACTACAAGCTTTGGGAAAACTATTGGACCCCCCCCCAAAAAAAAAAGATTACACAGAGAGTGCGGGGATGTTCTTTGGACGTGTCCCTTCGGACGGGTGTTCCTTGGAATTTCCGAAAGTTTTCCCCTCCAGCACTTCAGTTTCTTTGGTTTTTCCTGGTTGTCCCAATTGTTTTCCCAAGTTTATGGCATTCCTTCAGAAAGGTGGGAGAGGGGGAGGAGGCGGAGGAGGACGAGGAGGAGGAGGAGGAAGAGGAGGATGATCGGGAAGAGGATGAGGAGGAAGAGGGAGGAATCATTGTTTTTTTGCTGGTTTTTACAATGGGTTTCTGAAAGTTTTCGCCTCCAGCACTTCAGTTTCTTTGTTTTCTTTGGTTTCCCCCATGGTTTTCCCAAAGTTATGGCACTCCTTCAGAAAAGGGGGAGGGGGAGGAGGCGGAGGAGGACGAGGAGGAGGAGGAAGAGGAGGATGATCGGGAAGAGGATGAGGAGGAAGAGGGAGAAGGATGAGGAGGAAGAGGAATGCGCGACGAACGAAAACACACAGAAGAGAGAGCGAGAGAGAGAGAGAGAAGCAGGAAACCCTCGGAGGGCCGAAAGCCCGCCGAATCATCCAGTCTGGAGCTGAAATACCAGACACGCAAAAACCACCAGGCCCCCTTTGCACCTGAAGCCCTTGGGGCTTGGTGGCGTATTGTTGTTCGCCGGGCCGCGCCAAACTCGAGAAAAGGTAGTGCGCGCGCGATTTGGGGGATGCCATCAGGTTGTTTTTTTCCGGTGGTCGGGGCAAGCCAGGAGGAAACATGCACGCAGATTGTGCAATCAGTGGGCGTTAGGGGTACTGCCTCCACGAGGGTCGGTACTAATCGTTGCAATGTTTCTTGGGGTCATGTTTGCGTCCCGTGGGAGGCCGAACGGCTTCGGAACGCAGATTGTTCGTGTGCCGACATGACAGTGGCGTAGCCACGAAGGAAATTATCAGTCGCATCGCGTGACGGGTGTGCACAATTGCGGGATCTGTGGCTCTGCGAGGGCGAGTCTCTAGTATGTATACGTGTCCCCAGGGAATGTCCGACAGGAAATGCGTGAGATGTGCACTGAAACGAGACTTCCGTAATCATGCATGTGCACATGCCCGAGGAATTGCGATGCAGCCCTGCCCTGCGGATTGCGCGGGGCCGATCCGAGCATGCATGTATTCATGCATCCCATTCTTCCTCCATCATCCACCATCTCATCATCTTATCGCGAATCCTGATACGGCGAAGGCTTGCATGGGGGCCCGCCGGATTGAATCGTTTCGCTCACTCCGCCGGCCCATTTCGTACCACCGTTGGTGTGCCAACACATTCCAAGACGTCACAATCATGTCCCAACTGGCCGCCAAAAATTGCATCCGAGCAGGGTTGCGGACGGCTCCCAGGAGGCCTGAGAGAGCGCAGGACCCGCCCATGAGGGCTCGGCGGTCCACGCGGGGTACCAGCGCCGACGACGACGACGTCGACGACGACGACCCCGACCCCGACCACGACCACGACCACGACGACAACGGCGGCGGCGGCAACGACGACGACGCTGACGTGGGCCAGAGTCCTCAGGGATGGTTCTTGGGATATCTTCGGAAGTCTCTCGGGGGCCGCTGGGGGGGAATTTGGGGGCCTCTTGGAGGCCACTTGGAAGCTTCCTGGGAGCCTCTTGGGGGCCTCTTCGGGCTTCCTGGGGACCTCAACGGAGAGCGGCGACGTAACAAGCTCTTCACACCAAGGCTCCCAAGAGCGAAGAGTGCCTTGAGCCCTCTCGGGCAAGTTCCTGAGGCGCTCTTTCCGTTTCCGTACCAGCCCAGGTCGAATGGCCTTCGGCCCATCCCGCCACCGTGCTTGGGTTGTGGGTGGTCGTAGGCCACTAGGATGTTCGTTGGGACGATGCGGCAGGCCTCTCGGCGGCCTCTTGGTGAACGTTCTGCGGCTTCTTTGGTGCCGTTCTGGGGCATCGTGGGGGCATCTTGGGGGTGTCGTGGAACCTTTCAGGGGCCTCTTGTGGCCCTCTTGGTGTACCTTTTTTTGAGGGGGGCGGCTGACTCGGATCTTCGGTTCGTGCTCCCCCACGTTGGGCCCTTCTTGAGGCCGTCGTAGGGCCCTTTTGCGCCGTCTTGGGCACCTCTTGGGCCGTTTTGGGGCCTTCTTAGGTCGTCTTGGGGCCCTCTTTCAGGCCCCTGGGGTTGTCTTGGGGCGGTCGTGGGGGCCTCTTTGGGGCGTCTTGGAGCGTCGGAAGCTAGAAAAGTCGAGAGGGCTCCCAACACACTGCAAAGCCCTAAGAACATCCATGATTTTGGCCTCTCGTGGCGCTCTTGAAAGGCTGTTGGGGCTCTCTTGGGGCGCCTCGAAGGCTTCTTGGGCAGTGATTGGGGCCATCTTGGTCGTTTTGGGTCGATCGTGCGGCGACTCGGGGCACTCTTGGACCGTCTGGTCGGCCTTTTGAGGCCCTCTTGGCCCGTCTTGGGGTCCCCCTTGGCTCCTGGAAAAGTCACGCGCGTCTCAGAGGGCACGTGCCAAGCCTCAAGAGATTTGAGAGCTCGGGGCCTGGGCCTGTCAAAGAATCCTCAGGATTGAGGACTGGGGCTGCGTCGATGGAGCAAAGCACCTGGGGACACTCCAAATCGTTCCTCAAGGGCACGTTGCCGGATGTTCGAGTAGGTTGATTGTGCCGAAGAGGGTGCAACGAAACAATCGTGACAGCGGCAGGATCTTCCTCCAGCATTGTCAGCGCGGGCGTCACGACCTGATCGCGGACTCCACGCGGAGGCTGGGCCTCTGCACCCCTTGCAGTTTCAACATGTAGTGCCGTCTGCGGGGTAGACAGCGCGATTGGTGGACTCGTGATATCGGGTCCTCAACTTCCCCTGCCAGTCCTGCCTTCAGCTTCCTGAGGAGCGGCATCAGGCTTTGATCTCACCCTCGCCATGCCATCAGCTCCCGTAGGAGCGACATCCGTCTTCACACTCCCCCCTCTGTCATGTCATCAGCTCCATTCGGAATGACATCAGGCGCTAAAATCCCCCAGTCGTACCCGTAGCCATCGCCCGAGGTAGTAGTTCTGGACATCCGTGGCTGCGGAGTGGTACCGATGAAGGCGCAATATCTATCAAGAATATGTTGCCGTGAGGTCGGGCTTCAACGTAGTTCGCTGCCCTGACTCGTCGGCCACTTTTAAAGGTCTACGCATCGAGGCCGGATTGCGGCTGGTATTGAATTCGATGTGTTTAGATCCTGTGCTCGAGCTCGTCGATCGCCAGTCGAACACGTCTCTCGACGCTGGACCTCGGCACGATTTCTTGCCGATGCTCTGCGCCGAGCTGGATGAGACAGTCCTGGGACTTTTTCATGGAGGAGGAGGGGGAGGAGGACCAGTGTACACCCATCATTCGCCAACGATGTAGCAATCAATCCTCCCTCCGAGTTCCTTTTTGAACTTGTCCCTACAAGGATTCACTTGTTTCACTCGCTGTCCCTCATGTGTCCACCCTGTTATCCTTCCACGGCGCCCTGGCGCCCCCCTGCAGCGCTCCTGCGGCATCTTGACACAGGCCGCTTGTCCGCATGCCCGCATGCCCCTGGAAGGACTCAGTTGCATTGAAGGAAGCGCCCCGTTGGAAAACAAGCGTTTGGAAATCTGGATCTGAACCAGAACACACCTTTCTTGAGATTGCAATGCCGCGAGTCACTTTTACTGTTGCGTCTTGGCGATCCTGAATCGTGTCCGAATATCTGTTTGGAGCTCCAACGTCACGAAACAACATTACTCGTTACTGTTGCGGTCGGGCACTACGACATCGTGCGAAAACGTAATTTTTGGGGACGATCTCCATGACAATCCTTGCAACGGCTGTAATTTTTTAAGACGAGTGCGCGCGGCGCCAAGGCGAGAACCACAGTTTTACAACGGCTTGCCCTCCATCCCTAAAGCTCCTGCAAGTTGTTAGGAATGATGTGTGCGGCGTTTAGGCGAGAACCACATTTTGAAAACGACCCGTCCGCGAACCTTGTGCAACATGATGTGCGCGGCGCTCAGGCGAGAGCCACATGTTGAAAACGACCTGTTTTCAACCCGTGAAGCTCTTTCAAATGTTTAAGACGGATGTGCGCGGCGCTAAAGCGAGAGCAACATTTTGAACACCACCCGCCCTCCATCCGTGAAGCTGTTGCACATTTCCTCGCTTCGAGAGCAGACATGGTGAGGAAGTCTCAGGCGAAGCGCCTGGCCCTCCCTTCCGACTTGGACTGGCTTTTGGGTGCGACAATCGGGACGATCGAAATGGGTACGGAAAGTGTGGGTACAAAGCCCAACAGAAGTTCGTGCTCATTTTGAACAAGTCCCTTGTCGGTGTCGCCGCAAAAGGTGTCCAGTTGAGGCAGAAGGCCGCCTGCCCAACAGCGGCCGCTGCTGATTTGGGGCAACATCAGTTGTTGGGCATTGTGCCCATGTGTTCCGTACCCAATTCGGGTTTCCAAAGGAGGAGTTTTTCATAGGGAAAACAGAAGGAGGAGGAGACCGGCCCATTTTTCCGACCCGTGTCCTGTCCGCAGGCGATGGGCGTCGCCGCCGGCGGCGCCGCCGCCGCACCGTCCGCAGCGAGCGCTTCCGCCCAGCTGGACGCGGAGCTCCAGGAGCTGCGGGACACGAAGCCGACCTTCTCGATGGTCAGCCACGAGATAGCGAAGGATGCCGCCCTCCTCCTCCTCGTCTTCCTTCTCCTTCTCCTCCTCCTCCTCCTTGGAAGCAGCCTTGTGCTGCCTCGTGATCATCAGGACTGCGTAGTGTCTCATTTTTTCGTTGGCTGCCGCTGTGCCTGCCGTTCCCGACTCTTCCGTCGTTGCTGCTGGCGATTCCAGCGAGCACGGAGTCGAGAGGGGCAGAAAGCCACGGTTCATCTTCGGTCGCTGGTTTCCCGTTTCGGTGACGGAAGAATTGCATACGTGAACACACGTGTTCGAAATTCTGCTCGGGTTTCTTTGATCAGCGCTGGGATTCCCCCGAGGCGGCGTCCCCTGCGCCGCCTCTGGCGCGTTCCGCGCTCCAGGAATGGGGTCCAGCGCCCATCCAAGAAATCTGCGCGGTCCTCCAAAAGTGCACGTTTGTGCCTTCTTTAATTCTCTACTCCCTCCGTCTCTCTTGCTCCTTCTTCTGCCTGGCTGGTGCTTCCCATGATGGAGTTCCTTCTTCTTCTCGGTGGCGGGCGAGGGGGGGGCGGGGAAATGAGAAGGAGAAGGCGGACAGGAAACCTCTCAGAAGGCCAGGGGGCGTCCGAGCCTTCTGAGAAGGCCCGCCCTTTCTCACTTCCCCCCCACGCTCGCCGCCGATCTCAGTGGGAAGAGCTGACGATTCTCATCGTCACTGAGTGAGGAAAAGCAAAACGCCCTCTTTGGGCCGGCGCTCGCCGCCCCACCGCCTCTCCAGATGCCTTCGGGTCGCGGAGCAGAGAGGCAAGCGGCTGCGGGTGTTGGGCGATGTTCCGCTTCGGGGGGGGGGCTCGCACCAGGCCCCAGGGCCGGGTTCTGGGCGATTGTTCTGTTTCGGGCGGCCGCGGGGAAAGCGGCTGGAGATGAAGAGCGGCGGAAGTGGTCCAGACCTTTTGGGGAGTCCGCGTTGTGAAACAAAGCGACGTTGGAAGTTGAATCATCATGTCAAGCGGTGAAACATGCACCCCGACTCTCCAGAATGGGCATTTGCTAAGCAGTCCTGTGCGCTTACTAACCAGTCCTTCCTTTCTTCTTCATCGATCCCTTCTTCCCGAGACAGTGCTTGTGACGAGGGGTTCTTTATTTGTGTTCTGAAGTAGCTGGACGAGTCCGGCCCAGGATGGTCCATGTCGCTGCCCAGTGCCGCCTCGTGGTCGCTCGTGCGCGCCCCGTGCGCTGGGTGGGTCCGCCGAGGTTCCGCCACGCTGCCCCCCTCTTGAGCGCCCAGTGCCTCTGGGTGGGTCGAGCAAGGTCGCGCCCCGCTTCCGCCTGTGCTGCCTCGTGGGCGCTCGTGGGCGCCTCGTGCGCTGAGCTTGCACCAGGTAGCTTCACTAGACAGCTTACGCAACACAGCTTACACGTCACAGCTTAGACGGCATAGCGTACGCTACGTAGCTTGCACTACGTAGCTCGCAGGGCTGGTGCCAGCAGAGCAGATATCCACTTGCCTGCGGCGACTCTTGCCACCGTGCAACCAGAGCATTCCCATGAGTTGGTTCGACATGTCTTGAGATCCGTTCGCGTCAATGGTCGAGGAGCATTGGCCTTCGCACTGTCGGCTTAGCTCGACTGGGGCGGCTGGCAGGCTTGCCTGGCTGGCGTCTCGCGGTGAGCTCGGCCCCCCAGCTTGGAGGCGCGGAGGCGTTCCAGCAGGCTTGCCCGCGAGCGTGGGAGGTCGCCGACGCGGGCCGGTCGCTGCGGGCGAGCTGCGCCGACTTGCTGTGTCCCGCCGCGGAGCCCCAGGAGACGGGCGGCAAGGGCGCGGGCAGCTGGCTGGTGCCGCCATATCAGGACGATCATGTGGTGGCGGACGCGCACTTCCTGCCACCCGCCAGACGTCGGCGCATCCTGCCTTCGCGCCAGGGCGGACGGAACGCGCCGCGGAGCGAATCTGGGCGTCGCGCCAGAGCGCTGCCTTCGATTCCGCGTTGGCAGCGGAACGATCGCGCCGCGGCAGCGTCCAGGACTGGTTCGCGCGCTTGCTGCGCGCCCGCGGCGTTACTTGGGTGGCTGCAGGGCAGGCCGCCCCCGCCTGGGGCCGCACGTGGTCGCGCGGCCGCTTGGATTGGAGGCCGCCTGCTCCGACGCGGCCAACGCAAACCCCGCCCCCGGCGACAGACGCCGCCCCCGGCGCGGGCGCGGCAGCGGGCCGCAACTGCGCCGTCGGGGACGGCGCTGCCGTGGCAGCCGCGGACGCTCGCAAAAACACGCGGCGCCCAGGCCCACTGAGTGCGGGCGCTGCTCCAAACCTGGGCCCGCGGCGACTGCGACGCGCTGGCGGCGGCCCGCCAGGGCCTGGCGGCTGCGCCGCAACGTGACCGCGGCGAGGCCTACCTCGCAGCGTGCTTCGCCGCCCTCGGCGCGCTCCGCCGCGGCGCTGGCCCCGCAGCCCGCCGCGCGCTCGGGCTGGGCGCGCTCCGGGGCGACCGCGGAGGGCGCTGGTAGACGCGCAACGCACACCGTCAGAGGCGGCGGAGAGCTTCTAACCTCCTTCGAAATAAAGAACAAGCGCTTTTGTCAAAATGCTACCTATACGGCCACCCTTCGGGTGATCAGGAGGTTGTGGGGGGGAAGAAGGGGGGAACCAACATCTGACTCAATCGATCTCACTATCGATCTCACTCAACGGGACACCACGGGACACGTGTCGATCTCACTATCGATCTCACGATCGATCTCACTCAACGGACCATCGACCTCACTCAACGGGACACCATAGGACACCACGAGACACCCCAGGACACCTCGGGACACCACGTCGATCTCATTATCCATATCATTATCGAACTCACTCAACGGGACACCACGGGACATCACGGGACACTGGCGGGACACCTGCGGGACACCAGCGGGACACCGGCGGGACACCGGCGGGCCACCGGCCGCCGGAGGAGACACATTTGGTCCGGCCGCGGCCCAGCCACAGGAGGATTTCGGTACACCAGCGGGACATTGGCGGGACACCGCGGGCCACTGGCCGACGGAGGAGAAACATTTGGTCTGGCCGCGGCCCAGCCACAGGAGGATTTCCTTTCGCCCGCCCACGCAGCTTCGCCTCGCCCGCAGGCACGCACGGCACGCACAACACGAACCCGAAACCGAAATCGAATTTCCGGTAGGGGGGGTCTCCGTTTCACGTCGGACTCACCCCCCAACTTCCGACTTCCTCTCCTTTCAGTCATGACAAGCACATGTGAATAAGCTACAAAACATTTTGATCATTTTTTCCTCGAGAGGTCCACCTGCCAAAAGTAGACGCGGCGGCGGCCTGCTGCTGGGGGGCCATCCCTTTCTCCTTGCCTGTCCTCTGCTCCTTGCCTCTGGCGGGCCCGCGTGCGCCCGGCGGCGGTCCTCCTCCTCCTCCTCCTCCTCCTCCTCCTCCTCCTCCTCCTCCTCCTCCTCCTCCTCCTCCTCCTCCCCCTCCCCCTCCCCCTCCTCCTCCTCCTTCTCCCCATCATCATCATCATCATCATCATCATCATCATCATCATCATCATCATCATCATCATCATCATCATCATCAGCATCAGCATCAGCATCAGCATCAGCATCATCATCATCATCATCATCATCATCAGATTCATCATATTCATCTTCATCTTCATCTTCATCTTCATCTTCATCATCATCATCATCATCATCATCATCATCATCATCATTATCATTATCATCATCGTCATCATCATCATTACCACCACCACCATCATCATCATCATCATCATCATCATCATCATCATCATCATCATCATCATCATCATCCTCGTCGTCGTCATCATCATCATCATCATCGCACATGCATGCGCGCCTGGGGCATTCGCACACCAATCAACTAGGCAAAGCACGCTCTGGCCTCGTACAGCGGCACCTCGAACCAGTAGCCCTCGGACGACGAACGGAGTACAGGTAGAGGAACACACTGACGCACATGTGGTGGAAGACGTAGGAGCGCCAGGAATACGAAGGAGAATGCCGGGAAGAGTTTCTGCAACAGGAGGCTGCAGAACAAGACGGGATCAGGCCGCACAGGCCCCCGTGTTCGCCGAGCAAAACGAGAATTCACAGTTCATCCAACATCGAACCCCTTCTCGGTCCACCTATTGTCGTACTCGTTCAGCAGTCTCACGAAGCCGAAGATGGGAACGGCTAGCATCACGCTCAAAGCGCACAGCGCCCCAGCCACCGCCAGCCTGCACCACGCCCAGCGGCGCCTCCGCGGCCCCAGCGGCGGGCAGTCATCCCCCATAGGGGCCCGATCAGCGCCTCCGCCCACGGCCACTGGCACTGTCTGCGGCTCCCTGAGCTCCTCCTCTTGAGGCCCCTCGGGACCCTCCGCGTCCAGGGGGACGAAGAGAGCCATGCCCCGGTAGCCCAGGAACTCCCACGAACAGCTGGAGAAGACCACAGCACCGCATATGCACACAAGGCCTGAGAATGGCGGCAAGGCCTCCCAGGAGCCATCAGAAGGCACGAAGATCGGGGCGTCGACGTTCTCGGGGAACCTGAGCTGCTCAGGTGACGGGGAGCGCCTCCTCGCCTCCAGCCGAGCGCCGTGCTGCGCCCGAAGCAGCTGGGCAGCCGAGGCATGCTCCACGTCGATGTCCCCAGCGTCGGAGTGCAGCGCGACGTTCCTGCGCAGCACGTCGAGCCACATCGGCTCCTCACCGTTGACAAGGGCCATGACAGCAGAAACAACAGCCCGAAGTCGTGACCCAACCTCCCAGTTCCTACGATGAGCGAGAGAGCATCCTCTGCCAGCTGTAACTGGTGTGCGAGCTGGTCTGTTTGATAAGCAAGGCGTTGAACGAGACGATCAGCTGATACACGTGCTCGCGACCTCCGCGAAGCACGAGACAAACAAATGGTGCCTCTCGATGGGGCACCTCCCGCAGCCACTTCCACGCCAGAGACTGCCCCACCGCCGCCACCGCAAGACATGAGGCCTAGCGAGCTCGAGCAATAGGGCTGCCATCCGCTGGTGTATGGCATGAGCCAAAATGGCTACGGACCTCCTCCTCCTCCCCGCGCGGCCGCGCGCCCGTCGCCTCCGCCTTCTGGTTCTCTCTTCCGTTTCCTCGCCTCTTCTCGGGAGCGAAAGAAGGACGCCCACGTACATGAATCCACGCTGGTTTCGAGAGGTCGCCTTGCGCGAATGTTCGCATCACGCGGCAGGTCTCGCGGGTCAAGGGGCCGCGTTCATGTACATAGCTGGGCGCGTACGTCCTCTGTGGGCTCCCTGTCTTCCCTCCCCCCCCCATCCTTGCTGGGCAATTTTGCGTGGGGCCTGCTCCGAGCGGAGACCTGGCAGAGCGCGGGCTCGGGCGCGCGCTGGTGGAAGTGGCGTGCGCGCTGAGGCGCCGCCCGCCCCTGCCCGAGCCGCGCCCGTCGGGCCGCTTCCGACGGGGGGCCGGCCAAGGATGGCAGCGGGGCCTGGGCGCGGCCAGACTGCGGGAGCGCCCTCCTCGTCGCCGCGGCCAGGCGCGGCTCGAAAGCCCAGTGCGGTTGGACCTTTGGCGGGGCCCGGGGGCCGACGTGGAGCTTGGAGGCCTCCTGGCCTTCGGGGGCCGTCCTCGTTGCTGCGGGCTGGCGCGGCGTGGAGCAAAAACTGGTGCGTCTGGACTCCCGGGAGAGGGGTCCGCGGTACAAATGCTGAGTTTCGAGGCGTCCTAGCTGTCGGGGGCCGTCGTCGCCGCCGCGCTTCGACGTGGCGCCGCAAAACCATGGCGTTCGAACTCAGGGAGGGTCCGGGGACCGATGTTGAGCTTCGAAGCACCCTGGCCGTCGGGGACCGTCCTCGTCGCTGCGGCTGGACGCGGTGCGAAAAAACCGGTGTTTGGACCCCTGGAAATGGCTTGGGGGACGGTGTTGAGGTTGGAGGTTTTTCGGCCTTCAGGGGCTCTCTTCGTCGCCGCGGCATGGTGGCGGCGCGAAAAGTTGGTGCGGTTGGACCCAGGGGGGTCCAGAGTTTCGAGGCCTCCTGGCCTTCGGGGCTGTCCTCGTCGGTCCGGTTGGACGCGGCGCGAAAAGCCCGTGCGTCTGGACCCGGGGAGAGGGGTCCAGAGACCGAAATGGAATTTTTGCCAGGGTTTCCTGGCCATCGGGGGCCGCCTGCGTCGCTGCCGAGGCTACGGATCACGGCGTTTGCCAAGGCTGAGCGCGTCCAGGGGAAGCCAGGCATGCTCGCGTCGTAATCAAGTGCGCACGGACACATGTTGTTGTGCTCTTTCCGGTGGCCCTCGGTGAGCCCGGGGGCCGCCGTCAGAAAATTACTCGGGATGACAAGCCGGCCCTAGAGAAAGGGTCGGGACCTCCGGGGAGACCGTAATGAAAACCTACAGGCCTCCCGGATGAGGTCCGAGAAGATGGGGTCGGAGGATCGCGCGTCATCGCCGATGAATCGACGAGAGGGCTCGATGTGGAGCCGCATGTCCCCCACGCCGACGGCGGTGCCGATGCATCGCCGGCGTCGCCGATGCATCGGCGATGCGGCGCGATCCTCCGACCCCATCTTCTCGGGCCCCATCCCTGAGGGCCCTGTTCGAAGAGTGGCGCGGTGACTGCAGTCTGAAGGGGAGGCGACGCTCTGGAAGGGATGGACCGCGGCGCCAGAGCGGAGAAGTTAGCGGTACCAAGCAGCGCACGGATAGGAGGGGAGGTCAGAGGAGGAAAAGGCACTCATACCGCTACCCTCCCCTCGTTTTCCCTTTTTGGGGTCTCTTGGGAGGCCCTCGTCCCCAACGCTGGATTCGCTTCGAATTTTTTGCCAGAACGCTCATCGGGAGAGGTTCGGAGAATATCGGTATCGGTACCTGTTGGCTTCTCCAGGATGGGGGTGGTCTCTTTTTGCTCTCCGTCCACGGCCGCCGAGGGCACTGGCTTTTTGAAGTTTGCCGGCACCGCCGACACCCCACCGTACCGCCCTCGGCGCGGACCCGAGGTGGAGGTGGGACAAACAGAGAAGAGATGATCCAGTAGGAAACAGTGTCGGCGAAGGGGTGCGCGCAGAAGGTAGTTAGGGTTCGACGATGGGTCAAAAGCAATGTTTGAGGTGGACGCCCGTGGTGCAACGGTTGGGCCGACGATGGGGACCAGGATGTTTGTAGTTTGTAGTGGTGGAAAGACGATGTGATGACGGAGAGTATCGGTTTCGAGGCAGTTCATGGTATGTGGCGCGGCGCGTGATACGCGATAGGAGGTGGTGGCAGTGGTATCGGTAGTCGCAGGAAGAGGAATTCGCAGGAGGACGAGGGATAGTCTCTGTGCAGGAAAAGCATATCTGATGACGAGGGGGGGACTCGATCAAGGCTTGAGGAAAGCCAGCGGGACGCAGGCCAGCCCGCTGCAGGGAGGATGGCAGGGAAGATGAGGAGGAGCAGCAGCAGCAGAAGGTGATGCGGATGTACACGAGGATGAGGACGGATCGGGATCTGGGATTCAGATGAGGAGAGATGACTATGGGGGAAAGGGATGTAGTTAGAGAGGGCGGCGAGGATGAGTATGGGAAGTGAGGATGAAGTGGCACGAGAGGATGAAGAGGAACTGGAGGAGCTGGAGTAGAACGAATGGAGGACGAGGAACATGCGAGGAGTAGGAGGAGGAAACTGTGGCAGAGGAGGAGGAGGAGGAGGAGGAGGACATGAGGTAGACACTGACGTTTAAATGAGCTCGTAGTATGCCGAGAGGGAGGGGGAGGGGGGGACGAAGGAGGGAGCATGGGGTATGGGAGGGAGTGGGGACGAGGCAAACGGGCGGGGGAGAGAGGGCCCCTGACCTCCGCAATGACACCTTGTGCACACTTCTCTCCTCGCTCCTCGGCGGTGAGCCCGGGGGGGGGGGAGTGAGACGGGGCGGGCCTTCTCAGAAGGCTCGGAAGCTCCCAGCCTTCTCAGAAGGTTTCTGAGCCTCCCCCGAAGACGTGGAAACTGTCTCAGAAGGCGTGGGGTCTTCTGATCAGTCCCGCCGTCTTCTGAGAAGGCCTTCTCCTTCTCACTTCCCCCTGGCTCGCATCCGATCTCCCCCGACTCTGTCCAGAAGGTACTCGGCCCTCTCCGCGTTATGTTTTTTTTGTTCTGGGGGGGGATTTTGAGCGTTGATGGCTCTTACGGTCTGTTCCAGCCCGATTGGCGTCGGCGTCTCAAAGGACTGCTCCCCGCTGCAGCGTGGGCCTCGCTTCCGGATCGGCGCTGCGCTCCCCTCATTCAGAACCGCGGTCTCGCCCCAGCATGGGCCACTCTTCTGGATCCGAGTCCTTTTCCATCGTGGTCGCCCCCCCTCAGGGTCGCCTCGGCTTTCCCTGGTCCTCCTGCTCGACCCGCTCCTTCCACTCCAGCCCCTGCTGCTGCTGCTGCTGCTGCTGCTGCTGCTGTTCGTCGTGGTCCTCCTCCTTCAACGTCCTCCTCTTTTTCCTCGTGCTCATCCTCCTGCTCGTCCGCCACCTGCTCCTCCAATGTACGCAGTTCCCTTTTCCCCGGATTGCGCAGTACAGAACGGGGTGGGCCCCCTTTGGACGTCCAGGTCCGCTACGACACGCGCAGGTGGACAGAGGAAAAGAAGCGTCATGGGAATGGATGGGCGGGAGGGCTAGGATGTCAGACATGGCGTGAGCGTGCCTAGCCCCTTTCTTCTCTCCTCTCCTCTCTCCTCTCGTCTCCCCCGCCATCCCCTGCCCAACTGCAACATGTTGGATCGCGGTCTGATCGTTTCGCTGGCTTAGCACAGAGAAGAAATAATTATAGAGTCGCGATTCAACCTGTCTGCGATTGTGATTCCAGCGCGTTTCGTCCAGGAAGGTCCGCGGAGCGAGCTCTTGCAGGGCCCATTCCGACTCGACCGGCCAGAATCGATTTCGAGTCCTCCCGGTCCGGTCCCATTCGATTTTGATGTTCTGGCGATACGGTGCCTGGCCCGATGCTGGCAAGGCGCAACCGCGCATCCTGGAGCGACCGATCTGGTCCGATCTCAGATCCCGTGCCGATGCGGCCCGATCCGCCTCCCAGATCATGCCTTTATGTTTTCAATACGCGGTCCCCCGAAGCCCCGACCCTTTCCACAGGGCAGGTTATTCAGTCCGAGTCGTTTCTGACGGTCCCTGGGCCCGGCGAGGGCCCCTGGAGCCCGAAAATGGTCAAACACCGTCCGTCGTTTTTTCACGACGCGAGCGATCCGGTCGGATCTCCCGAGTCGATGATGATCGGCCCCGCCCTCGGCCGGCCCATTGGGCCTGGCTCCGACCGCCGCCTCACCCTCCCGACATCGGCTCGACCTACAGAGCGTTCTGACGATCTTGTCTATCGTTTGCGTGCCGATTCCGTTTTTGCAGCAATAGGTGGACGAAGACAGAATACGTCTGGTGTTCGCTAGTGGACCCGTCACCCGCAACTGCCCAGTTTTCGCGCAGAAGACCGCCGAAGGCCGCCAGAGACCGCCGGAGACCGTCGAAGACCGCCAGAGGCCGACAGACACCACCGGAGACCGCCGAAAACCGCCGAAGGCCCATGGGCAACAAGGGGTCCACGATCGATCGCGTAGATCGCAGGAGAGGGCCTCGGCTAGGGCGGGGCCCCGCTCTCGGAGGAGGCGCAGGGGGGGACGGCTCGAGGCGGGCGTCGACGGCGCGACCCCGGGGCCGGGGGAGGAGGAGGAGGAGGAGGAGGAGGAGGAGGAGGAGGAGGAGGAGGAGGAGGAGGAGGAGGAGAAACTGGAGGAGGAGGAGGTCGAGGAGGAGGAGGTGGAGGAGGAGGAGGTGGAGGAGGAGGAGGCGGAGGAGGAGGAGGAGGGGCGACGAGAGCAGCACAACAGCGAGAGGCTCCCGACGCGCCGAGGCCCTCGGAGCTGGTGGCGAAGCTGCTGGAGCGGCAGAGAGCGGGGGACTCGGCCCGCTTCGCAGGGAGCGGGGAGGCACGGCCGGACAGCCCACGCCGAGCGCCACCGCCCACCAAGCCACCCCAGGAGGAGGGAGGGGGAGGAGGAGGAGGAGGAGGAGGAGGAGGAGGAGGAGGAGGAGGAGGAGGAGGAGCACGGTGCCCGGCGGGCAGCGGATCAAGGAGCTCGCGGCCTTGATGTGCATCGCTCCTAAACATCGGTGGTCGGCTCCGTTCTGCGCGATCCCGCCATGTGATCTGATCGCGCTCACGTATCGGTCTGTTGTCCGGACTCGCTGCACCTGGTGGTGCGCTCGGCGTTGGTACGCCGAGCGGGTTTCGTTGCACCCTGTCTTCGGTGCGGCGTGCGCTGTGCTGAAGGCGGCTCGGGGGGTTCCCGCGTCGCGGTTGTTGTCGGTGGCGCTCTCGGAGCATTCTGGCGTGTTCGGGCTGCTCCCGGTTGCCGCCGGGTCGTTCCCCGAAGGCGTCTGGCTGCTTCCGGCCCCGGGGCTCGACCCCCGGGGCCGCGGCGGCGGTCGGCGCAGCAGCCGCCGCTGACAGCCGCGAAGCGAGAACCCGGCACCCTGGGACCCTTCGCCCCCCCCGGAGGGCTTTCGACGCCTCATCCGATCGCGGTCAGCGCGTTCTCCGGGAGTGCGCCCGGGCGGCGCTCCTTCGCCCCCGGGCGGCGCCTGGACCCCCGCCGCGGCACGACGAGGAGGGGATGGGGGAGATCGATCTGGCTGTTCAGAGCGCGCCGCCGTGGGCCCAGTTCCGGCGATCGCTGGGCCGATAATTACGAGACGAACCTCCTCGCCGTTTGGAGGGGCGGGGCCGTGTGCACGCCGACGCGCAGGCACGGCGGCGCGTGCGTTTGCCCGTTCGGTTGCGGGCGCGCCCAGGCGTCGGCTCGGCACCTCTGGGCCGAGTGCCCGCGTTTTGCTGGACGTCGGCTCGAACTCGGGGGGAATCTGCGGGTCGCGCCGGCCTGGTGGGGGGCCCAGCCCCGCGTCACGGCGAAAACGGGGTGGATCACTAAGGCTGCCGGGGGCTCGATTCAGCGTCGGGCTCAGCTGCAGGTGATGGCGTGCCGCTTCGGCGTCGCCATCACGCAGGCGCTTGCCGGCCTCGGCGGGTGGGCCTTCGGGGACGCGGTCTCCCCGCCTGGGGCCCACCTGCAGGTCCCCCCACCCTTCCCTCCCCTTTCCCTCCGGCGGGCGGCGGCCTGGCGGGCGGCGGGGCGGACGACGACGACGCTGACGACCTCCCTCCCCCTCCTGGTGGTGGCGGTGGCGGTCCCCCGGGTGCTGACAGCCGTCCTAATTGGCTCCGCCTCAGTCCTGTGGTCCACCGGCCCTTGTCCCGCTTCGCGCCCGGGTCTACTGCGGCCCAGGGGCTCCCCAAGGTTTGAACAGCGCTGCGCGCTGTTTTAAACAGCAGCCAGGGCAAAGGCACCCTGCTGCTTTCATTTCTCAGGAGGAGGAGGAGGAGGAAGAGGATGAGGAGGAGAAGGAAGAAGAAGAATAATAAGAAAAATAACAATTCTAATAGGAAGAAGAAAAAGAATACTTATACGAATAATAATAATGTTAATACTAATAAGAAGAAGACGAATAATGAACATAAGAATAAGAAGAAGAATACGAATACGAAAAAGAAGAAAAATAACAAGAATAAGAAGAAAAGGAGGAGGATGAGGAGGAGGAAGAGGGGGAGCAGGAGGAGGAGGAGGTGGAGGTGGAGGAGGAGGAGGAGGTGGAGGAGGAGGAAGAGGAGTCGTTACCATACGCTCCCTGCCGCCGTCGATGTACATATAACCACATGCGCAGACGCATGCTTGGCTGTCTGCAGCTACCTGTGGTTCGGAGAGGAAAAAGGCCCGCGCCCGCCCCGCGCGCACGTGCTCATACCGTATATTTTCCTTACCCGCAGCTTAACGGGAAACACAAATCCCCGGTACATTCCACGATGTCCAGTGACCCACTAGCATGGACCCCAACAGTGAGAACTACCTTACTTGACGATGTTGGCCTGGTCGGGCGTAAGTTGGGTAAAGATGGGTTATCAGCCGAAAGCTCTGGGCTATGGACAGTCGACCGTGTCGATGAAGATGGGGCAAGTGTGGATACTTCCGTGAACGTGGAGAAGAACGCGGGAGGAAAGACCAGCCCCACAGGTGTGGAAAGGTTTAAGGATAGAGTCAACGGACAGACAAAGTCGACCTCACAACGCATCCGAGAGACAAAAGCAAATATGTTGCAGAAGATCAACTCACCTGGGGGGCCAATATCGCCTGCAGAGGAGGATGGCAAGGCCATTGAGAAGCTGATCAAGAATAACCCCTTCTCCAATATACGAACGCCGTCTCCAGCAGGTGAGCCGTCGGGGTACGATGATACCCCTATCAACCGAGGTCGAGAGGACACCCCTGTTCCAGACGATGATATCGACGAAGAGGACGATTGGTATGGGGGAAAACCCTGCCCGCGCAACCCGCTGTTGGGGGACGTTGATCAGGCTTATGTCGTAAACTCCAGCTCTTCGGACGAGGGCGACGAGAACGAGCGCGTCGCCGCGCCGGAGAAGGCGATGGCAATGCCGAGCTCATCCGAGACGAGTTCTGGATCGGCATCTGATCGGGCCCCGGAGAAGCGAGGTGCGGACTATGTCCGGAGAAAAGGGAAGTCACAGAGCCCGCGGGACAGTGTCGATAGTCAAAGGGACCTTGCGGCCTCGTCCGGGGGGTCTGGAATAGAGATTCGTCGCGGAAAAACCCCTAGGGCGACCCGGTGGGCGCGAAACAATCCCCGTGCGAAAAGCGCCCAAAGACCGAGCCTGGCGGCTCGAGTGGCCCAGAGGATCCCGAGCCAATCCCTGATCTGAAACCTCGTGGAAGACAGTTATTCGAGTCACCTGGCTCGATTTCCAGGAGGTCGAGGTCGGGAAAGGGCGGCCGAAGTTGCAACTCACGGGGATCCGTTCACGGGTCATCTTTGTCCAGATCATCGACGTCTCGATCTTCAATCTGGGAGTCACGTGCGAATCGCGGCCCGGCGTGCGAGCCGGGCCCCGAGAATCGGTGCCCGGGCAGGACCGCCGATTATCCGACCATATCGGAAGCCCGTGTGCCGGGGCTGCTCTGTCCAGTGTGGCCTGTGCAATCTTGCGTATCTTTGCCAGGAATGTCTGACGCCGAGGCAACGCATTTGCTTTGCGTATAAGGACCGCGAGTGGGAGCTGCGACAGGAAATGCGGCAACGCCAACTTGAGCAGGAGCGCGTTTCCGAAATAGCGGCCGCGCGCACGATGATGGCAGACGTGGAAGCAAGGCAGAGAGCACATCATGAACTGGCGGCACAGCAGGCCGAACACGAGCTTAATGCAATTCTCAAAAGGGAAAAAGGGCAGAAGGATGCCCTCTATGAGACTGCATTAAAAGCAGATAAGAGGCCCAGGAACAAAGCAGGGCCGAACAGGCTATCGCGGCACAGGCCCGACAAGCACTCCGTGGGGCGCAGGGCCGATAAGCGAAGTTCGAGGGGCAGGTCCGCGCCAGGCCCCGCGAGGCAACCATGGCGCAGGAACGGTCTGTTTCCGAGGCGGAACATATCGCAGCCACGTCTATCGCCGAGAGGCGCTGGTTGGAACAGAACGCCGTCGAAGCGAGGAGGACAGCGGACATGGCCCTACTGGAAGCCCAGGCTAAACAGCGACAGCTGGAGGACGAAACCAGGAATGCACAGATGGGGGTAGCCCATGCTCGAGCTGAGCTCCAGCGAGTTTCTGATTAAGCTCAAGCGTTGCTCCGATTCAGGACAGAGGGCAATGTCCCAGCGGGAGGATTCGCGGTCAAGGCTGGCCACGTCAGATGTGACCAGGTGATTTACATGCCACGCGGCTGACGCCCCGCAGACGAGCGAAAGATGCCAGATACCGTTTTGTGAACGGCACTTTGAATGGGTCATGGGGCGGCGTACGCAGTGCGAAACCGATCGCATGCGTGACCATGAGGCAGCGCTGAGAAGACAGCATGAGGAAGAGGAAGCCACGGCGAAGAAAAGGGTGCAAGACGTGGAAGAAGCTGAACGGTTCATAGAGATGCAAAGGGCCAACGAAGAGGCAGTAGCCCTTCGGCGCATTCACGAGCTGGAAGAGAAAGCCGAACAGCGCGCGCTCGCGATGGAGAAAGCAGCGCAAGTGCAGGCTGAGGAGATGCGCGAAAAGGCGGAGGCAAGGATGAGAGAATCACAGGCTGCCGCTGCCAAGGCTCGTGACAATGACAGCCATCAAAGGGAAATGGCCCCTAGCAGGATGCAGGAACAGAGAGAAGAAAGGAAGAAAAAGAAACCGAACGGACGGCCTGTCAGCAATTTTCCTGGATGCACTACGCCGGCCCGATCGAAGAAGACCACGGCCGCTGCGGGGGGCCTCGCAGGGGGTGGCGATCAGCCTCTGCGCCAGGGCAATGCCCGCGGTGATGGGGGCGGGCCGGGGAAGACGAAGGGTGGATCCGGCCGCGTGCCTGGGGGTGATAACCCTGATGATGGCGGCGACGGCGACGATGACGACGAAGACGATGCCGACGAGGAAGACGACTTCGAAGAGGAGGATTCCGAAGAAGAGGATTCCGATGACGAGGGCGACGAATCCTCCGAGGGGGAAGATGGGGACGCGGCGAACCGCAGAGCCAGACGATGCGCCGACGCCCAGAGAGCCGGGCAAGGCGATCCGGGGGGTGGGGGGCCACCGCCCTCGGGACCTCCAGGAGGAGGCGGGGGCCCAGGGCTCCCGGGCTCCGGCGGTCTGGTACCTGTGGTGGCACCGTGGATTGCGGCAGATCGAATCGACAAGATAATTCTGGATCCGCTGCCAGATGCGGGTTCCTTCCGTATGTGGAAGGAATCTGTCATTCGAGCGGTGGCATCGAGCTCGCAGCAAAATCATGCATTGGCGTCAAAGTGGATCGCCGAGGCATTCGAGCCAAAGCATGTCAAGGCAAAG